CTAACCCCGGCGCCGCACGGCTCCAGTTCTGCCCTAACCAGATGACCCCGTGGCTTCTCAGAGCCAGCTCTGGGCCGGGGCATCATCACTGGCCACAGCTACCTTGCCAAGACATGAATGAGCGGGGCCTGTGTTCCACTTCGGTGTCTAGTGAGCTAGCTTCAGAGACAATCAGCTCCCCACACTGGGGGCAACGAGGAAAGAGGGTTTCCATGCCCCAGAAATGGGGCCAAGGGTTGGGCTGAGGGGACTGCCCAGGGGAAGCCTTACTTTGAGAAGACTCTGGAAAGGAGTCCATCGACTTCCACCTGGTTTCTGTCCGCCGACCAGCCTTTCTTCTCCCGCTGTGTCCAAATTCCCTCCACTGCTGCCTGGTCTCCACTTCCCACGCCTGCGGAGGAGAGCTGAGCTTCTGGTGTTCTGCAAACTCCCCTAGCCAAGGAGTGGCCAAAAGGGGTTGAGTGGAAGCTTTACTTTGAGAAGACTCTGGAAAGGAGCCCACAGATTTCCAGGGGTCAGAAGTCAGAGCACGGTGGTGACTGCTTGTCTGTATTCCGCGTCGTCTGGGACCTTGGCTGGAAGATGTGCAAGATGGTATCTGGAGGCTTACCTGGGGCCGGACGACTCACTTCAAAGGTGGCCCGGTGGCTCCTCTCCACGTGGCTGCTTGAGTGTTCTCACAATATGGTGGCATGCTTCCCCTAGGGAGAGCAATCCCAGAGGCCAAGCAGGAAGCTGCAGTGCATTTTATGACCTAGCCTGAAAGTCACGCGTTCCTGCCACAGCTGGTTAAGGCATCCCTAAGTCCAGCCCACACCCCCAGGAAGCGGCATCCTCACACCCCCAGAGCGGGACTTGTCCCACTACTCCCTCCTTAGAGTCCTCAGGGGAGAGCCTCACTTCCTCTGCACCCAGTGAAGACCACTCCTCCTTCATCCCCCTTCAGCTCCTGCCAATCCCACCTCTTCTGTCCAACATCTAATGCTGCCTTCCAGAACATGCCAGAAGCTTTGCTTCTGGTCTGCCCTGCCTTTCCTTCTTGAAGGAAACCCTCCGCATCCTTCAAGACACGACTCTAGGGTTGCCTTCGACCAGGTCCACCTGCCCCCACCCCAGTTCTGTGTCCCGTGCCCCTCCCTACGGCACCCGTCATACACTGGGCCCTGGTCTGTCGGGCAGGGTGGGAGACACCAGAAAGCAGAAGGGCTTTTCCTGGGAAATTCCGGAGCTACGAGCAGGCTCTCCCACAGTTTGCTGCTCAGCTCTTTGTCCATGAACCCACCCTGCCATGGACCTCCCCGGAAGTACCTTGTCACCTCTACCTGCCCTTTCCCACAGCACAGGGCTGTGTCCCATCATCCCGCCTTCTGGGTTGCGTGTTAGGCTCTTCAGCACGACTTCACATTGACTCTTTGATTTGAAGCTAGCAGCCACTGTGCAAAGAGAGTCAAGAAGAAAGTGACTGTCTACCGCACAGAAAGCAAAGTGGGGGGCCAGCAGGTGGCATGGTGGTTAAGGCACTGGACTCCCACATGGCCAACTTCAGTTCAAGTCCTGGACTTGGTGGCTTGAAAAATCATACGAGGCACATACATGTGCATGCCCAAAATCCAGGAGGAGAATGAGGAAAAGGAATTGCTGCATGAGCATCCCCCCCTGAGGGGTGATTTCTCACTCTCCCTCTCACTGTTTCTCTCTGTCTCTCTGGTAAATGCACACAAGACTCTCCCTCTCACTGTTTCTCTCTGTCTCTCTTATAAATGCACACAAGCTAGGCAAAAATCCTAAATAAATAAATAAATAAGAAAGCAAGCAAAATGAAAGCCCAGAGGGGTCAAGCAGTTTGCCCGAGACCACACAGCTAAGATGGGACTCTGTCTGCCCAGGCCCAAGTCACTTTGTTGATGGCAAGATGAGTTGTCGTTAACAGCAACACTTTTAAGAAAGTGGCTTGCCCCATGGTCTGCAAGTCTCTCCTCAGAGTAAAAGAGGAGCAGTAGGGTACTGACAAGGTCACGGGTCCGGGAGCAAGAACCTGCAGACCGCGGGCTGGAACCTGACACTGCGACTTAGAGGTTCACAGAGACAGATGAGCACGAGTGTTTATCCAACCAAGTGCATGCTTGGGGCTTTCTGCACATCGGCTCAGCTCCTTGCCACCGTACCAAAGAGTATGGTGTAGTGGCTAAGGTAGCTGGGTCCCACATGGCTAACTGCACAGTTCAAGCCCTGAACCAGGTTACTTGAAAACAGGCCAGGTACCTGTGCATGCATGCCTCGAATCCCCAGAACAGGGAAGGATGGAAGAGCAGGGGTTGTGGCATGACCATCCCTCATGGAGAATAGAGGGGATCATTTCTCTCTTTCTCTCTCGCATTTCTATCCAGCAAGTACATGTACCCTCTGGCAAATAAAAAGAAAGAGAAAGAAAAAAGGAAAGAAAGTCGATTTTATTATTCCCGCTGGACTCCCACATGGCCAACTTCAGTTCAAGTCCTGGACTTGGTGGCTTGAAAAATCATACGAGGCACATACATGTGCATGCCCAAAATCCAGGAGGAGAATGAGGAAAAGGAATTGCTGCATGAGCATCCCCCCCTGAGGGGTGATTTCTCACTCTCCCTCTCACTGTCTCTCTCTGTCTCTCTGGCAAATGCACACAAGCTAGGCAAAAATCCTAAATAAATAAATAAATAAGAAAGCAAGCAAAATGAAAGCCCAGAGGGGTCAAGCAGTTTGCCCGAGACCACACAGCTAAGATGGGACTCTGTCTGCCCAGGCCCAAGTCACTTTGTTGATGGCAAGATGAGTTGTCGTTAACAGCAACACTTTTAAGAAAGTGGCTTGCCCCATGGTCTGCAAGTCTCTCCTCAGAGTAAAAGAGGAGCAGTAGGGTACTGACAAGGTCACGGGTCCGGGAGCAAGAACCTGCAGACCGCGGGCTGGAACCTGACACTGCGACTTAGAGGTTCACAGAGACAGATGAGCACGAGTGTTTATCCAACCAAGTGCATGCTTGGGGCTTTCTGCACATCGGCTCAGCTCCTTGCCACCGTACCAAAGAGTATGGTGTAGTGGCTAAGGTAGCTGGGTCCCACATGGCTAACTGCACAGTTCAAGCCCTGAACCAGGTTACTTGAAAACAGGCCAGGTACCTGTGCATGCATGCCTCGAATCCCCAGAACAGGGAAGGATGGAAGAGCAGGGGTTGTGGCATGACCATCCCTCATGGAGAATAGAGGGGATCATTTCTCTCTTTCTCTCTCGCATTTCTATCCAGCAAGTACATGTACCCTCTGGCAAATAAAAAGAAAGAGAAAGAAAAAAGGAAAGAAAGTCGATTTTATTATTCCCGTTTTACAGGTTAGGTCACTGAGGTTCAGTAAATGAGGCCACGCAATTCATAAACAAGGGAGCTGGGATTTGACACCAGGAGGACCATCTGCCTTGAAAGCGCCTGCCCTCTCTCTCCATCACACGCTCTCTGGCCACCTCCAGCGCATTGCCGACAGCGGCTGTGGAGATACGAGGCCCTTTGCCAGCAGAAGCAGGAGGTCCAGGAAGGCAGGGTGTGGGCAGATAGGCGGTGGTCTCGGAGCCAGGCTGCAGTCTCCCTGTCTGGCATAGTATCCTTTTTCTCTTCTAATAAATTGCTCATCCACGACACAGCTTCAAGAGGCCAAAAGATGAGCAGCACCTTGGGAGGGGCCTCTTGATAAGGAAGGAATTTTGCTATCATGGGATCTCCAAGCAGGCCCAGGGTCCAAGACTCGTGATCGTTAGGGCTGTCGATGGGCACCAGCCAAGGAAATATCCCAGGGGAGCAGCAAGGCAAAGAACACGAGGTCTCAATTTAAGCCCCCGGGTAGAGGGGTGTCAGGGACACTGGGACATGAGTCTCCGATCACCCCGCAGAAAAGGTCCCAGGGCCCACTTCCTCCCACTTCTTTGCTGAGCGGCTGAGCCATCTCATTCCCCTCTCCTACAGCAGTGCTTTCTCCTTCCTCTGTGACCTCGAGGTGTGACAGCCTCTTTTCTGCTTTCTTTCAGCACCAAAATGCTCAATGTTACCTCGCAGGTCCTTGCATCTGCTCTTAACGGGACCCTTTCCCAGAGCAACAGCTGTGCCCTCGCCGAGTGGTGGGGCTGGCTCAACAGCGTGCAGGCCCCCTTCCTCTGGGTGCTGTTCATCCTGGCCATGCTGGAGAACCTCTTCGTCCTCAGCATCTTCTGCCTGCACAAGAGCAGCTGTACGGTGGCCGAGATCTACCTGGGGAACCTGGCCATGGCAGATCTGATCCTGGCCTGCGCGCTGCCCTTCTGGGCCATCACCATGGCCAATAACTTCGACTGGATCTTCGGGGAGGCCCTGTGCCGCCTGGTGAACAGCTTGACCTACATGAACCTATACAGCAGCATCTACTTCCTGATGTTGGTGAGCATCGACCGCTACCTAGCCCTGGTGAAAACCATGTCCATGGGCCGCATGCGCGGTGTGCGCTGGGCCAAACTCTACAGCCTGGTGATCTGGGGGTGCGCACTACTGCTGAGCTCACCCATGCTGGCTTTCCGGACCTTGGGAGAGTACAGAGACGAGGGCCACAATGTCACCGCCTGCATCATCAAATACCCGTCCTACACCTGGGAGGTGTTCACTAATGTCCTCCTGAACCTGGTGGGCTTCCTGCTGCCCCTGAGCGTCATCAGCTTCTGCACAGTGCAGATCGTGCAGGTGCTGCGGAACAACGAGATGCAGAAGTTCAAGGAGATCCAGACGGAGAAGAAGGCCACGATGCTGGTCCTGGCCGTGCTGCTGCTGTTCGTGGTCTGCTGGCTGCCCTTCCAGGTCAGCACCTTCCTGGACACGCTGTTCCGCTTCCGTATCCTCTCCGGCTGCTGGGAGCACGTCATCGACGTCATCACGCAGATCAGCAGTTACATGGCCTACAGCAACAGCTGCCTCAACCCGCTGGTGTACGTGATTGTGGGCAAGCGCTTCCGGAAAAAGTCCCGAGAAGTGTTCCAAGCCATGTTCCAGAAAGGGGGCTGCATGTCAGAGCCCAGCCAGGTGGAGAACTCCATGGGCACGCTGAGGACCTCCATCTCCACAGAGCGCCAGGTTTACAAATTGTCGGACTCAGGGCAGAGCAGCCAGTGAGCACAGGGTGACTTAATCTGTGTGAGGACTGACAGATGCTTGCTCTTCAGCCCAGACCCTAGGAGGAGAGGTCCTCGTGCATGAGCTCAAGCAGGAACCCCCACCCTGCCCAGTGGTAGTGAGGACACAGCCGTGACGTCAGGGTGACCTCGTGCACAGATAAGGGCTCCCAAAACACACAGTATTATTGTCCTTATTTGCTGCTGCCTCCCAGGAGCAGAGGGAGCTGTGGGCAGGGACAGGAATGACTAAGCTCCCTCCCCGCTAGACTCCTCCCCTGCCCTAGCATGACTGCGTAAGTCTCCTGGAGCGCAGTGGCCCGGTGTGCATGCAGAGCCTGGTGAGCTATTGCTCTCAATGTCCTTGTCCCACTCAGCTAGGACTCTGGAAAACAGGTTATCGGATTAATGAAGCTTAAACTGAGGGGGATCTCTGATAGAACACAGGATCCAGGACCCTGCTGTTCCCTCGCCAACAGACAAGGTGGTACGTGTGAAAGAAGACCCAGTGAGCACTGAACACAGCCGCACCCCCAGACTGAACGCTGAGGGCAGGGCACAGAGGGGGTGCGTCCTGCCTGGGAGGAACTCATGGACTCAAGCAGGGAGGACTGAGCGCTTATGGGCTCTGGAGGCCGGTCTGTGACGCGGCTAAGCAAGGCACTGTGGCCACCACAGAGACCAGAGGGGTGAGGAGCCCAAGGCCTCAGCTTGCCCATTAACTAGTTACGCAACCGGCTTTTCTCTGACTCAGTTTCCTCTCCTGTAACAGCAGGTTATTGTGAGGATGAAAGGACACAATGGGCATGAACGTACTGTGATGCCAAAGGTGCTGTGTGAACACGAGGCATTTCCGCCCACAGGGGCGAGTGCACTGGGGAAAGACCCCAGGTCTGGAAACTGCCTAGAGGAGAGTGGCTATTGGAAGCCCGAGGTCCTGCAAAGCGCTCAGTGTCTGACACGCCGGTCGTGCCGGTGCTGCTGGCTCCTGCACCCTTTCCTTCCCGTCACCCTGCCCCACCCCACACACACATGTGTCTGCATGCACGCACGCACACACACAACGCTTTTGGAGAAGGCCACCCTTCAGCGTTTGATTTGTGCTAAGGCAGAGAGATTTCCAACTGGACCCGCCCAGGGGATCACAGCACTCGGACCCTCACCGAGGGGTGGTGGCTGTCACCAGGAGTCCAGCCAGGCCGGCCCGAGGTGTCCCTGCCTCTGCAGCCAAGGGGCTCCAGTCAGTGACTGATGTGAAAGTGGCCCAGTGTGGCCTCAAGAGGAGCCTGAGCAGAGACAGTGGGGCCACTCAAGCACAGTAAGGGTAGGGCCTGAGTCCCCTGCCAGGGTGGCTGAGCGCATCCTCTTCGGTGACAGTCCTGAGCCTGGCCAGCCCATAAGAAAGCACCTGCGGGGCAAGGGCCCCACAGGAAGAATAGATGTCTCCACCTCCACCTCCACCAGGCTTCGAGAGATGGGAGCAGGCCCTCTCCACTCGGTTCCCCAGCCAATCGATTTCCTGTAGAGCCGATGGGCAGGGCTGCGGGCAGCTCCCCCTCTTTTGGGTGGGGGTAGGGATGGGGCAGGGATGGGGCAGGGCCAGGGCAGGGCCCAAGTGTCAGGCGGAGAAAGGTGCATCAGCATCTTTGGCCAGAGGCCCAGGGTACAGCCCTGCTTCAGTCTCGGGTCCTCGTTGTGGGGAACTTGTCTTTTTCTGCACATCTTATTAAACGGCCCCTGTGGCCTGCTGTGCTAGGCCGGATGGGGAGGTGTGGAGGAAGTGCTGGCCAGGCTCCACTGCCAGCTACGTGGAACCTAGGCAAGCCAGTGGCCAGGAACTGAGGAGCAGGGCCCAGACAGCGCCCTGCCGCGGCCAGCCTGAGCTTGCTCACTGGAGGCAGGAGTAGACCGGTATTAACTTGTTGGCTCTCTCTGGAGAGGCTGGGACCTGGAAGAAAGGAGGATCCGGATGGCAATGAGCCTATAAATCATAGCCAATGAACTCTGAATCTTAAAAAGAATCCAAAAAGACTCCCTCCCAACCTCACCCTCCTTTTATTTTCATCACCCACATCCCTCTGCCCCGGTAAACATACCCATTTGTAGCTGGACAGCAGAAGCAGGTGAATTAAAGAGAGCCGCTTAGTATTAGGATGTAGCTGGCGTGCCCACAATGTGGGAGGAGACAGGAGGTGTGCTTCATGTTGTGTCCGCAGAGCCATGGCCATGGGCTCCTAGTGGTCATTTCAGGGTTCACACATGGTCTGTGTGCACCTGAGTCCCCGGAAGGGACCTGCCCTGTTCAAGTGTGTTGAAATCCTACAGAGCGTCCCTCCTGCAAAAGACCCAAAGAGCTGTTAGTCTGCAAAGAGGAAGCAAATCCCACAAAGATGAGGAAAGGGATGAACCGTGTAAACACGCATCTTTCTGCACAGCCTAATAAATGGAGAGTTTTTACACAGCTCTTTCCTTGTTACAACTCCCAGACCGCTCGAGTCTTTGTGTCCTGGATGCTGCTGTGGGTGGTGGTAGCCTTCGGGGGTGGGTGTTTCTGCTCAGCCTGCTTAGGGCTCCGCCATGATGACGGACAGTCTCTCAGCCGTTGCACTCGTACTTCCCAAAATGCAGGAGAGGGCTGCTCACGCTTCCCAGTATGCACGCGGTTAGTACAGGTCAGTGTCCCCTCTAGAACGTTCTCCGCAGTAGACATTTAAGAAATATGATGTAAAAACCTATTAACAGTGTCTGAATATGTTCCCAGCCGACATTCCCACGTGGTAACTCATTACCAAGCTCTTACCGGGTGTCTATAAAACCATCTGCCCTTTTTTTTCTTTTTAATCACCAGAAAGCAAATACACTCATCAGAGAGTCAGAGAGAAAGAGTGGATGAGGGGAAAAACACCCCCATGGGGCATGGTCATGCCACAATGCCTTCCCCACTTATCCATCCTGACAGGCTTCGGGGCACGTACATGCACCCAACATGTTTCTCAAGTTCTTCGGGGCACGTACATGCACCCAACATGTTTGTCAAGTTACGTGGGATCCAGCTCTCTTAACCACTAGGCTATGGGTCCTGCCTGCAACCAGTGTCTCCCAGTTCACACTCACTCTGCAGTCAATGTGGGCTTTTAAGAATGCAAATATAAGGACCAGCAGATGATCTAACGGTTACATCACTGGACTCCCACATGGCTGACTGTAGCTCAAGTCTTGGACCCAGCAACTTGAAACTCATGCACACATGCATACATGCCCAAAATCCCGAGAGGAGAATGGAGGAGAAGGGATTGCGGTGTGCCCCCGCCCGGGGGGGGTGATTTCTTGCTGTCTCTCTCTGTCTCTCTGGTGAGCACCAGTGCCCTGTAACAAAAATCTCCCTAAAAGAAAATAAAAAGAATGCAAGTACAGTCCCAGCCTCGGTGCTGGTGCAGGGGGAGGGTGCCGCTGCATGATCCTGAAGCCACACAGGAGGCCTGGGTGCAGATTTCAGCTTGACCTGGACAAGGACCTGACACAGGACACACTTATGTGATGGCTGGGAGCCTGGGGGGAGGATGGCAGCATGACAAGACCCTGTCAAGGAGATGGCTCTCTTTTTCTCTCTCTCACTTAAAAAAAAAAAATGTAATAATAAAACTAAATAAACCTTTCAGGAAAGAATACCAGAGCACCCCTAGGGAGGCTGTAAACATAAGGAATAGTGTCAGAAGCTAGGGCTTTGGGGTCACTTCCAGCTCATCAGCTCAGACTTCAATTTGCTGTGTGGCCTTGTGTATCTCACTTGTCCTTTCTTTTTTTTTTTTTTTTTTGGTTGAGATTTTTGCTATAAGGCATGTGTGCTGGCCAGAGAGACAGAGAGAAAAATCCCCCCCCCCCCCAAGGGGGACAGTCACGCTGCAATCCCTTCTACTCCATTCTCCTCTCAGGATGTTGGACACACACGTGCACGCACACACACACACACACATACACCCGCCCAGAGTGAATTTCAAGCCTCCAAGTCTGGGACTTGAACCGTGGTCAGCCATGTGGAAGTCCGGCAATGTAACTGTTATGCCATCTACTGGTCACGGTCCTTTCTGGCTCTGTTTCTTCATCTGTAATAATAGTGTGGGCCTCATAGAACTATTAGCAGGATTAATGTATGAAAGTTTGATGGTCTGTGGTTTGTTTTATTTGTCTTATTGTCTGAGACAGAATAGCCTTAGGTCAAAGGGACCCATTCAAATGTCTTACCCTGGGGACCAGCAGATGGCATGATGGTTGTGTTACTGGACTCCCATGTAGTTGACTGCAGTTCAAGTCCTGAACCCAGCAGCTTGAAACTCACACCAGGCGCATGTGCGTACTTGCCCAAGATCCCAAGAGGAGCATAGAGAAGAAGGGGTTGCAGCATGGCCATCCCTCTTGGGGAGTGATTTCTCACTTTCTGTCTCTGTCTCTCTCTGCCGTTCCAGAGAACACATGTGCCCTATAGGAAAAAATTCTCAAAAAACAATTTGTTTTAAAAGGCCTTACTCTGTGTTGGCACAGTGCCTGGTACCTGGCTGGCATGGAAGATGTGTCAGCTTCGATGATGACGATGCTGATGGCAGCCAGGGTGAGAAGGGCATTCTTCAAAGGGAAACCCTCTAATAGCATCCCAAGGCCCTTGGGAGAAACCTCCGTATCTGTGAGGCCCTGCACGGCCCTTCGTGAGACGGTCCCCCCCCTCTCCTCCTGGCGCATTCTCTAGCCTCCAGCATGGTGGACACGGGGGCCAGGGAAGATGCTCATTCCTCCTGTGGGGCCCAACCTTCCTACCCAGGTTGCAGCCCGCCCAGTGCCCTGAGCCGAGGAAAGTTACCCACAAGTGACTGGGGGAGCTCACTCTTCAGGGGACTCGGCTCACAGATGTGGGCGTGACTCACGGAGATCGTAACCTGGAGAAAAGCCATGTGGCTGGAAAGCTGAGCAGGGCGGTCAGTAGGCGGCACCAGGCTGGGGGAGCCTCCCTCCCCCTCCCTGACTCCAACCCCTTGACTCCTGACCCCTCAGCTTCAAGCAAGCTGGTACAATGGGGGACGCCAGAGGGACCTCAGGAAACCAAGCAGGTAGCCCAGCTTGACAGGGCCTGGCCAGTCGGGGGTGGGGCAGGATGCAGGGCTGCGGGCTGGTTGCCAGATGACCGGATGGAAACTCGGTGATGACGCCACGGTGGGTGTTATGAAGCCACGTGAGCACAGCCCTCATGACTCAGAAGGGGGCTCTGTTCTGTAAAGCCCAGTGATGAGTTCCACTCTCTCCTTGGGGCCCAGTCCCGCCCCGCCGCAAAGCCTCACATGGCCCTGACTCCTCACCCGAGCCCAGGAGGATGTGGGGTCGGGGATGAGTAAGAGAGGTCTCGGTTCGGCCGTGGCTGAAAGCTGAGTGGGCTGCGGTTTGCGTTGTTCTGCTGTCTGAGACAGAACGGCCTTAGGTCGAGGGCTGTTCCACGGTCTCACCCGGTGTTGAGCACTCGATAGACGCCGTCCTCCTGCCTCCAGAAGGCAGCCATGTCTGTGATCACGGCTTCCCGGTGTGGAAACTAAGGCCCAGGGAGGGATACAGCGTGCCAAGGCCACTCAGCCCTAAGGAAGCTGACCTGCTGGGCAGTTTCTGCACCATAAACAGGCCTCCTGAGGACTCGGTCCCTGCAAAGTCACCTCCTAGAGGCTGGTGCAGAGAGTGCGCACACTGGGATCTGTTCCTGCAGTGCAGTGGAGATGCGGTCGGCCCGCAGTGCACCCGTTTCAGCTGTCAGTCACCTGCGGAGGCCAGCAGCCGTCTCTGCTACCTAATCCCAGCACGTTTCCAACAGCCCCCGAAGAGCTCGCACATCCTTTGCGGTTTCTCGCCATTCTTCCCGCCACAGCTCTGGTGGCCGCTGAGCTGCCACCTGTCTCTAGATTCACCTGCTCCGAACACGCCTAAAGACAGGCCCATGGTCCCATCCGCTTCCTCCACCTAGCCCATGCCGACACACTGTTTAACAGTGGGAAGGGTTTTGGGGCCAGGCCTTGGGTCCCTGCCATGCCTCTTGCTCACCATGGGATCTTGGCAGGCAAACAGGTTCCTAGTTCACATCCCAGCCCTACCACTTCCTGGCTGTGGACATTTGGACAAGGTCAGTTAACTTGTCTGAGTTTGTGTTTTCTTTCTCATCTATAAAATGGGGCTCTGGGTATTAAGAAGACTCAGTGAGATAAGGATGTCGGAACAGGTTGACGCGTGCAACCCTGTCCCTCCCCAAATTCATGCCTACACGGAACCTCAGGATACAGCCTTATTAGGGGATGGGGTCTTCGTAGAGTGCTTGAGTTGAGTTGTCCTGGATTAAGGTGGGCCTTCAATCCTAGGACTGGTACCCTTACAAGAAGAGGAGAGGATGCACCACGACAGAGAGAAGGCCGTGAGCAGAGAGAGGCAGAGATTGGAGTGACGCCTTTACAAGCCAGAGACTGCAAAGGCTTGCCTGGAACCACCAGAGGCTGTGAAGGGACGAGCAATGGTCTCTCCCTCGGAGCAGCCTGCAGGAACCAGCGTTGCCGACACCCTCACTTGGGGCTTCTGCTGTCTTGAACCGCGGCGGGCTCCATTCTGGTTCTTTAATCCGCCCAGTTTGTGGCACCAGGGACTGTGGCCTGAGCAAGTGACCACTGGCGTCTCGGAGAGTCCCACATTGAGACCGTCCTCACAGAACTCACATCCCTCGTCTCCCGCAGCGAGAGGGCTTTGGCTGCCTCCCCAGGTTCAGGGATCCTAGTTGGTGAGCGTGTCCTAAGACAGGCGAGGTTGTACAGTCTCACGGGCATTCTCGGGTCTTTCCCCAGGGAGGATCCCGATGCCCTAGCAGGGCCATGCTGCATGTCAGGGACTGGCCCAGGGCCCCAAGTGCAAACAGCTCCCTCTGCAGACCCAGGACCTGGGCTGCCCTGTGTCTCCCTTCCCCAGAGGCAGGCTGAGTCAGTGAGTCTCAGATCAGGTTAAAGAGAGGTCACCGGGCCCGGCTCCCAGCCCCAGACAAGCCAGCCACCAAGCCCAGTAGATGGGAATGTTTATAGACAACCCTGCAGGATGACCAGAGGGGGGTTCTGAGCCCCCCACATGCCTCAGTGCAGGCTGAGTCAGCCTTCGCGGCCCCTTGGTGACCGGCCCTGTGCATCTGTCTACTCTCTTCAGTCAGGGCCCTCCTGTGCCTCCGCCCCGCCTCCGCCCCTGCCTCACTCAACAGGCAACGACCAGACCAGGAGCCGTAGCTACCGGGCGCTCAGCACAGGCTGCTCTTCACATTCGATCTCACAAGCCCCAAACCTGCAAAGCACCACTTTACAGATCAGGAAACTGAGGCTCCAGAAGGTAGTTTAGGAAGCAGTCCTGGTTCACCTCGCTCAACAGAGGAGTTGGCATTTCAGCCCTGGTGTGGTGACTGCACACCTGACTTCTGCATCAGCGCGGAGAACGAAGGCCTTGCCCTGGAGCCAGATCTGTCCACTGGGAAATATCCGCCCACCAGGAAGGAGACACGTCAGCGTGTAGGCCCCTAAAGGGCACTAATCATGGCCGTTGGGCTAGCCTGACCCTCACCGTCGGGCTCCGCAGATGGTGCTGTGTTGAAGAGCCTTGCCTGAGGCCATGCCTCTTTGCCAGGCACCCTACAATTGACAACAGACCTAAGCAGGAAGGCCCTCAGGCCCCCAGCCTGGCCCAGGTCGGCTGAGGCTTCTCAGGAGACTACCATAGCCTGGTCTTCCCCTTGGCCCATGCTTCTTCCTTCCCTTCCCTTAGACCTCCTGTAACCGCAGTCCCCTGAACTAGAAATCTCTGGACTCATTTGACTGCTTGGCCAGGTCAAGTCTTGGCTGACCCAGCCTGCCCTCTGCCCCTCTCTAGTCATTCAGTGTGCCGCTGCCCAGCCCCAGGGTCTTTGCTCATGCTTGGAGACCTTCTCGTACTCCGGGACTCAGCCCAGGCCTCCAGCTGCCTCCCAGACATCCCTGACACGTCCTCCACCTCTGTCCTCTGCACCTCTGCCTCCTCTTCGATTTCCTTAGAACTCATCACAATGGCACGTGGGCTTCTCTGCTTGCTTGTGTGTCTCTGCCCCATGTGTGAAGGCCTTATGAGGCTGGGACAGCCAAGAGTAACCCCGAGTCTTCAAGAAAAGGTACCATTATCAGAGCCGGCAGGTGGTGTGGTAGTTAAGGTGCTGGATCCCACATGGCTGATCACGGTTCAGGTCCCAGACCGGGTGGCTTGCTTTCTCACTTTCTCTCTCTCTTTCTCTCTGATCAAATTTAAAAAAATAATAAAATAAATAAAATTTTAAAAATTTAAAAAGTAATAATAATAATGAATAAAGTTAAGTAATTTTTTTTTAAGAAAGAAAGAAAAGGAAGGTATCATTATCTGCGGCATTGCTGTTTCCCTGGGCCCGTGTTTCTCAGCTCACAGAAGCATTTTCCACCATGGGGACCTACAGGGTTTATGCTAAAGATACATGCTCATAGCCTTCAATTTGCAATGAGGTAATCCAATTCCATATCTATTAAAAACATCATGAAGGAACTACTTGTTCCTAAAGAAAACTAATTATATTCCGTGCCTCCATCCTGTGCTATACACATGAGCCAGCCAGGCCCCAGGCTGCCTGGCAACGCCGTCAGAGCGTCTCCATGTGGACGCTTTCTGCAGACCACACAGTGTCACGAGCTGGAAAGGTAACCCGCAGAACACACTGGTTGTGTCCCGTGAACACCCGTGTAGCACGGCATGGACGTTTCCCACACATTTATTTGATCCTCACAACAACTCTCATAAGCAGGCAGGCCCGGTGCACCCCAGGGCCACCACGGCCCCCCAGCTCTCTTCTGGGAAGACTTGCAAGTGGGCTGACTCCCCCTCTCAGAGCACCCTCCTGGGCCCGACGGTCCAATTCGCTCCCTTGCACCAGACCACAAGCCTGCACAGGACCTGCCCACTGGTAAGGACTAAATGGTACTCACAGGAAGAATGAGGAAGGGGGCAGCTCCATAGCCTAGTGGTTAAGGGACCCAGATCCCGCATGGCTGACCATGGTTCAAATCCAAACGCCAGTGGCTTAAAAAAACAACACTGTGTGCAGGCACGTGCATGCCCCAAATCTCAACAGAATGGAAAGATGTTATAGAAGGGATTGCAGCATGATCACGGGGTGTGTGGGGGGTGCTGGCTCCTCTTCCTGTTCCTCTCTCTCAGTCTCTGTCTCTCTCTGACAAATGCACATACCCTCTGGCAATTAAAATAAAGGGGGAGGTAGAAGAAAATTACTGTTTTAACTCACAACAGTCCTGCACAGAGAACGAATTCTCTTGTACTCCCCTTCTTTATTCTATGCAAGCTTCCAGCCGGTTGGGAGAGGCCGGCCCATGCTGGGGAGAACACCCAGCTTTACTTAGTCTACCAGTTCAAATGCTAGTCTATCCCAGCAACACCCTCACAGACACACCCAGAAACCCTGTGTAAGCAGACATCTGGGCACCCCGGGGCCCAGTCAAGTTGACACAGAAAACCAGCCACCTCACCCTGCCATGAGTGGAGTGAATTCTTTCGATCTTCATATTCAGAGAGTGCTGGTACTTCACGGCCACTTTGCCAGTGGCTTGTCCTTGTCCTCTGCCAGAATGAAAGCTCCTTAAGGGGGACAAGGAAAGGGCAGCCAAGTCTGGGCATGTGGCCTTGTGGGCCACTGTCAAGTCTCAGTGTCTCTGTGTGCCCAAGACACGGCATTGGAGTGTGTCGTGACGAGACGAGGCCTGGCGTGGCTTCAGAAGATACAGAGATACAGCTGACCCATGACAAGCCCCTCCTGCGTGCTGGCCCTGCGCCGTGTTTGCTGCGAGATTCTCACCGCTCCTCTAAGAGGAGGGTCTGGGGAGCCCAACTGCCCAGGCGAGAACGCCTTCCTCTCCCCAAGGTCAACACAGGAATGGAGGTTTTATATGATTTTTGTTTTAAGTTTCCTGGTCTGTGGATCGCTGGCCCAGTGGACTTTTTGTGCCCAGGGGAGGCACCTTCTCATCTAGAACCAGCTCTCAGCCCTTTGCTTTGGGGCTGGTTGCCAGGCTGCTGGCTCAGGCTCGGGCCCACATGCAGCCACCTGAGTGCCCAAGACAGGCTCATGTCCACCGCTGTCATCCTAGGGATTCCCTGGGGTTTGTGCTTCCTTTCTGTTTTTATGTTTTTATTCATTTACTTCTTCCATGAGCAAGACAGACGGAAAGAGAGACAATACCAGCACCAGGGCCTTGACACCGTGGTCCACCCCAGGCTCTAGGCAGGCCTAGCCAGCCGCAGGTGGAGGGCAAGCACAGTCCGGGAGACTCTGGATGCAAACCCACAACCCCATAAACAAGGCTGCCCCAGAGCATCACTTCTGTCCCTGTGCTCCCGTCCAGCCCGGGTTTGTGCACAGGCGGGAGAGTCTGGGAGCGTTCAGAGCCCAGAGTCACCTCACTTGGAAGACCTCGTGTGGGGGGTGGCCCTGGCTATGACAGCAAGGCCATAGAGGAATCTGTGAATTCCAAGGGCTAAACCTTCGTCCTGTGAAGTGACAAAACCCAAGTGTTTCTGCACCGTTATTTGTGTTTGTTTATAAGCTAGCATGTGCATGTACTCACTAGAGACAGACAGACAGACAGAGAGGGAGAGGGAGAAAGCACCCTGCAGCGGGGCATGTCACACCATAATCCCTTCTCCTCCGTGTCCCCATCCTTTTGGGGTCTGGGGCATGTGCGCACATGTGCCCGGCATGTTTTTCTTTTTTTTGGAGAGGTTTTTGCTATAGGGCGTGTACGCTCACCAGAAAGACAGAGGCAGAGAGACAGAAAGTGAGAAATCACCCCCTGGGGGGATGGCCACGCCTCAATCCCTTCTCCTCCATTCTCCTCTCGGGATCTTGGGCCCGCATGCACGCCGTGAGTTTAAGTCACCGGGTCCAGGACTCGAACCTCAGTCAATTACATGGGAGTTCAGCAACATAGCCATTACACTAACTGCTGGTCCCTGAACGGCGTGTTTTTCAAGCTGCTGGGCCAGGATTTAAACCATGCGGGATCTGCCCCTTAGCCGTTAAGTCATGGGCCTGGCCCTGAACTGTTAATCCAGCGGAGAGACAAGGTAAAGCCTCTGTCTACAGGCGGAGGAGATACAGAGACGCTGCATGTGATCGTGAGGACGAAGTGAGGAGCCTGGAGGTCCTTAGCACGTGAACGCCATTTGTAGAGATGTGCTGAGAGGACTGTGGCCACGTGTCCCCAAGAGCCACAACTCCAGGGTCACCTTTCCTGAATACGTATCAGAGCCCTCAGGTACCACAGGAAGCCCTGCCTGCCCAGAGCACCCCTCCACCAGAGGTTAAGGACACCTGAGGGAAGGCTGGCCTGTCCCACTGACTGGCCAGGCTGTCCTGTCTCCAGGTGGCAGTCCTGCACCCTTCGCTGGCCATTTCTTCCCCCAGGGACCCAGGGAACTTTCATCACGGGGTGGTGGGGGTGGATCTTCGAAAGTTCATGGAAAATACCTATTATAAAAACTACGAGTATTATACATGTATATGACATGTGGATTTCCATTTTTTTGGTACCAAAATAAACTTGTACTTTGATTCCATCTTTCCATGAGCTGTTTGAAGTCCCCTCAAAGGGCTCACACCAGACTCTAAAGTTTCACCGAATTGTGGAGGGTATAGGAATTACAAATTGAAAAGGCAACCATACCTTCGGGGGGCTCCCATGGCCCTCTCTTCCGAGTCCCCCATCTTTTACCACATGGTGGGGCCTGTTTTCCCCTCATAAACTTGGGGTCTCCTTGCCTTGCCCTCAGTCCCGCTCCCACAGCCCTGCCAGCAGGGACACTCTCTGTCCCCGAGACAAGGCCTGCTTCCCATTTCCTGGCCTGGCAGGCGACAGCAGGAAAACACATTTTCTTAAAAGAACTTTCCATTCCACCCCAGGGTGGGGCCCACAGCCTTGGCAAGGTTTCCACGGACTCACCTCCCAATGCCCGACTCACTCAGTCCTCCATGACAGCTCACGGACACCGGCAGTCCTGCCACGTGGCCCTGCCACGCAAGGGCCAGTTCTCAAGCTCATTTCCTGGCAGGAGGGGACCTCAGAGCGGCTCATCTCTTGTCCTGGCTGAGCTGGTCTCATCCTCTCCCGCCCAAGAACAAAGGCTTCCGGAAACAGTCCAGTCTAAGCACACTGCAGTGGAGAGAAGCCAACCGCCTAGCAAGCCCCAACCGGTGTACGAAAGGGAGAGGGCAGGAGCCATGACGGTTAAGGCAGCTTGACCCCACACAGCCATGGTTCGAGTCCCAGACTCAGCAGCTTGAAAACCACGCCAGGGGTAAGTGTGTCCATGCGTGCCTGAGAGGAGAATGGAGGGAAGTTGGTCATGGGCCACCCCCAGGGGGTGCTTTCTCACCTCCCTCTCTGCCTTTTTCTTTTTCCCTGTCTCTCTCTGTGAGCACATGTGCCTTAGAGCAATTTTATTTTATTTTATTTTATTTTATTTTATTTTATTTTATTTTATTTTATTTTAAGGGAAGGACTGGGGACCAGCAGATGGCATAATAGTTACATTGAGGGACTCCCATGTAATAGACCATGGTTCGAGTCCCAGACTCAGTGGCTTAAACCTCACCACCAGGAGCATGTGCGTGTATGCCCACGATCCCAAGAGAAGATTGGAGAAGGGATTGTGGCGTGGCCTCCCCTGGCCCCTGGGGGTGATTTCTCACTTTCTGTCTCTCTGTCAAGGGTACACACCCTACAGCAAAAATCTCTCTAAAAAAAAAGAAGAAGAAGAAGAAGAAGAAAGAGAAGGGCTGGGATGTGGAGCCTTTCTCTGGTGAAAATCTACCCCCTGCAGGATGAGACGCGTGCCCCTCACCTCTGTGTGAGTAAAACCATGCCACGAAGTGGCTTCTCCTGATAGGAGGGGATGTCCCAGAGGCAAGTCCAGCTTCCTCCCTAGAACACGCACCTGCTACTGACTTTCACATTGTTGGCTTTTTCCCCCCATTTTCACAATTTTAGTATCTCCAGCAAGAGAAGAAAACTACTAGAAAATGTGAAAGTGCAGCCTAACCCCCTGGAAGTGGCAGTGACAGGGAAACAGAACAAAAACACCGGGCAGAGTGGTGCAGGGGGAGCGAGAGTGGGGCTGCTGGGGTCCTGGGCCTGCCGGGACTCACCGTGTGCGCATGCGTGCCACGGTCTTGGCTGGTTGAGCGGGGTTGGATGACAGCATGAGGGTTCTCTGTCTCTCTCTCTCTCTCCCTGGCTCTTTTGTTCTCTCATGGAATAAATAAGTAAGTAAACCTTTTTTTTAAAATGAAAACAAGTAAGAAAGAGAAAGAAAACTAAAAAGAGGCCACATTCTGAAGATGAAGGGAATGGCTTCTGTTCTACATGTGTGGGGGTCACTTTCCTTTTTTTTTGGAAAGAGATTTTTGCTACAGGTATGTGTACTCACCAGAGAGACAGGAAACAGAGAGAGAGAAAGCGGAAAATCACCGCCCAGGGGAGATGGCCACACCACAACCCCACAACCCCATTTCCTCCATTCTCCTCTCGGGGTTTTGGGCACTACGCACATGTGCCCGGCATGAGTTTCAAGTCACCGGGTCTGGAACTCCAACCATGTGGGGGGAGCGAGAGTGGGGCTGCTGGGGTCCTGGGCCTGCCGGGACTCACCGTGTGCGCATGCGTGCCACGGTCTTGGCTGGTTGAGCGGGGTTGGATGACAGCATGAGGGTTCTCTGTCTCTCTCTCTCTCTCCCTGGCTCTTTTGTTCTCTCATGGAATAAATAAGTAAGTAAACCTTTTTTTTAAAATGAAAACAAGTAAGAAAGAGAAAGAAAACTAAAAAGAGGCCACATTCTGAAGATGAAGGGAATGGCTTCTGTTCTACATGTGTGGGGGTCACTTTCCTTTTTTTTTGGAAAGAGATTTTTGCTACAGGTATGTGTACTCACCAGAGAGACAGGAAACAGAGAGAGAGAAAGCGGAAAATCACCGCCCAGGGGAGATGGCCACACCACAACCCCACAACCCCATTTCCTCCATTCTCCTCTCGGGGTTTTGGGCACTACGCACATGTGCCCGGCATGAGTTTCAAGTCACCGGGTCTGGAACTCCAACCATGTGGGAATCCAGTGCCTTGACCACTATGCCACCTATGGGGGGAACTTTTCTAGAAGTCTGGACTGTGGTGTAGATGGGATTTCCTGTGTGCAGGGAAGGAGCCAAAAGCAGTTCCAGCAGCTCCAGTTTCGAAGCGAAGCTAGCAGGCGAGTGGCGTGCAGACGGAGGCTCTCACAGCCCGACTCTCAAAGAGAGCCTAAAGTCTACTGTCTGCAACCTGAGACCTCGAGCAATTCACCCTGATACATAGGGGTTCACGTCTCTGGCAAGCGCACGCGCCCTGTAGCCAATGTCAGATCTGCCAAGAGAGATTAGGGAAAAGCGCATCTGATCTTACTCAACTCTGAGCATTGCATGAGTCAAACCTTCCCTAGCTCACTGTTTGTATAACGGGGTCCACATGGATGGATTCTTGGCGATGTGTCCTGCATGACCAAAATTCAAAAGGAGGCAATTCAAGACAGCTCCCACGAAAGCTGCAGCCCGATCACGGACATCTGAGCCAACTGGGAATGGGGAGAGTCCTCACTCCACGTGTGATCCTTTGTGAGCGTTGTGGGGAGTCAGAGATGCCAAGATGTATTTTGGGGGCGTGTTTGCCACTGACTGCTTCTCAGGCAGGGATGGCAGGCCTCCCCAGATCTTACTCAAGTCAAGGGAGATGGTGGCTGAATCATCTCTTACCATCGCCACAGCCCAGAGAGAAAGGAAAGTGGATTTCCATTCCAGACCCCAGCTCGCTTCCTCCCCCTGGAAGACTCACTTTCTCGGCAATCCCCCAATGACGTCACTGGAGTGTAGGTTACAGGACTGGGGCTGCCGCATTTCCACAGAGAGTTCCTAGGCAGAAGACCCCTCCAGGAAGGACTCCTGCCTTCAGAAAACCCAGCCGGAGTTGTGAGCCTGAGTAAGTAAATGACTGTCTGTTTTTCCTCTCATGAGAATAAAATAGAACAGTCTTTTTAAAAGGAATAAAAAGTGTTCCTTTACACCTATGTATTGTAGAAGTCTCTACTTATGTAAATGCACATTAAATAATAATAATAATTCTAAATCAACTTAAGAGACTTTTAATCCACGCGTAGTTTGGGTTTTCATCATTTTTCCAGAATAGGAAGAGGAGGAGGGAGAGTATTTGAAATAGTTTGGGAAGGTTCCAGGAGTTCTCCAAATCGAGGTCAGATGAACGTGTCCGGGCAAGGTACAACGGTTGGCGACTTGCACGGACTCCAACCAGTTATGATCTGCAAATTCTGATTTAGAAAAATCCAGTCAGGCTGAAGGTGGCTTACAAGATTTCATAAGGCCAGTAACTGGTTGGGTTACTTGTGGCCTGAAAATAGCCTCTTATTTTGTGACCGTGTGGGTATTCTTTAACATTTGTGTCTGTATTCTGAATGTTTTTATCATCACCTCACTATTGAAGCTGGAGTTAATTTGAAGAAGCCTAATTTATTGAAAAAAGTCACTTTTTCTCCCACGTAGCACGTGCCAGCATTAAACTGTGAAGAATTCAGAAAATACCTGAATCTACCTAGAAATCACAGCACTGTCATCTGTAGGAAACCTGCCCAATGTCACTTTTGATGTTTCAGATAGGCTCAATTATTGCTAATAATGTCAACAACTGTTACTAACTGAGCACCTACTAAGTGTCTGAAGCGAAAGCTCAGAACCAATGAAGGTTTTCCTCTCTGGCCAGTTTTGCAAATACAGGCAACTGCTGGCATGAACAGCCACTTCCAGAATAAACCCGGCCTGTGCAGACACGGGCTGCCCTACCTGACAGGGGGAGGCCGGGCAGGGTGCAGACCCCATCGGGCATGAGCTGACATTCCTGTGGAGGTGGTGATCCCCAGACCCTGTGCAGGGGCCAGGCAGCCTCCCGCCTGCCCCCATGAGTTTTCTATTTCTCTATGCTTTGAAAATTACCATAAATGTAGAGGCTCAAAACAACACACTCTTGGGGGTTTTGTTGTTGTTGTTGTTGTTGTTGTCATTTGTTTATTTGTTTAGTTTGCTATAGTGTGTGCTCTCCAGAGAAGGCGGAGAGAGAGAGAAAGAGAGCGAGTGAGAAAGTGAGAAATCACCTCCCAGGGGGCTGGCCACTCCACAGTCCCTTCTCTTCCTTTCAGGATTTTGGGCATTCATGCACACGAATCTAGTGTGCTTTTCCAAGCTGCTGGGTCCGGGACTTGAACCCTGAAATTGCCATATGAGATCCAGCTTCCTTAGCCTCCACACCATCTGTTGGCACCTACGTAGCTTATCTTCCGGAGGTCAGAAGCCTGTAGTCTCTCCGGGCCCAGTTCAAGGCATGGGCAGTGCTGGTTCCTTCCAAAGGCTCTGGGCAGAATGAGCTCCGGCCTTCCCCAGCTCCTAGAGGCTGCCGCATTGCTTGCCTCGAGGCTCTTCCTCTGCCTTCAAGCCAGCCATGATGCATCTTCAACGACTCCCTAACTCTACCCCCTCACACCAATAAGGACCCTTGATAGCACACTGAGCCGTCTAGATGGTCCCAGACCATCTCCCTACCTCACGATCCTTTATCAGATCTGTAAAGTCCCTTTGGCATGAAAGGGGACACATTGGCCGGACCCAGGGACTAGGACGTGGGAGCCATTGTCCTGCCCCCCACACTCCTGCAGCCCATATCCCCAGGTTACCCCCATCCCTTGTTCTGGCCAGGCCTGACCACCTAGCAGCCCCTGCCTTTGGACAACCTCTGTGCTCTCCCCAGAGGACATGGGATCCAGCACCCCTCCTCTGCCTCCTCCTCCCCCTGAGCCATCCTTTCATGTCCAGGCACCCCCCCCCCAGAGGAGACACAGACCTCCACCCGTGTATCCCATGGTACCTCCAAATTTCAAGGACGTTTGCCTGGAGAAGGAAGAGGAGGGGGCAAAGCAGACCCCACGCAGGGGCTCTCTCCACCTGCAGAATGAGCCCCCTCTCCTCTTCCAGTTCCCTAAACCTCCTGGTGGTGAGAGCTCTGAGGCTGGTGGTGGATGGGAATCTCCCAGCCGAGAGTCAGGCTCTCCTGGAACTCAGCCCCCGGAAGGTAGCACCTTGGTTTCCTGGAGCGTTGAGTCCCAGATGATCCTCGAACGGCCCCCAGTTCAGAAAAGAGGAAAAGGGGCCTCCACAGGTGCTTTCCAAGCGTGTAACCACACCGTGGTGGTCCAGCGAGGAGGCCGCCTACCCTCCATGGCTCAGGATACTCCGCGACGCGCCTTCCTACTGAGTGACACCATGGCGCTGTCCTTGCTGTCGTGTTCAGCAGCATCAGTGCCTCGTGGGGGGTGCTTTGTAGCTGGGAAGGGATTGTACACACACGATCTCGTTCACACTGCACAGGGACCTTGTGTAGTAGCCACCGGCATTCCCAGTCTACAGATGAGGAACCGAAGCTGAGGGAAGCCATCCAGCCTGCCAGAATCGCACGGTTTGGTGATGCAGGGCTCACGGCCAGACCCGTTCTCTGTGCAGCCCGAGCCTGCTGTGTGGAAGGGGCCTGGGATCCGAGCTGGGCCTGGAAGAGCCGTGAGCAAACAGGCTGGCTCTGATCACCCACTTCCCTCTGTCTCAGTTTCCCTGTCTGCACAGTGGGATGCCAATGCCTGTCCTTTGTCCCAGGCACGCAGTCAGGGAGCCCAGCACCTTGTTTTCAGTGGGGCACAGGCCACGTTCAAGGTTGGTCTGGGCTGCAACCAGGCTGGGGGAAGGGTGGTGAGACCAACACACCTTGCAGGGCTTCTTGGTGTGCAGAGCCATGTCACAGAAGGCTAAGGCCTGGGGCCTGGGCCATCTGAGGAAGGGCTCCAATACACGTTAGGACCAGGGACACCTAGGAAATGGGGCTGGCCGGGTGCACTGGCTCCCCCCCGTGCTGTGACAAAAGACAGTAGGCTGAGCTCTGCAAACATTCATTAAACCATACACCGTAGGTAGCAGCCATAGGATCTGGCCTCTCCGCAGTTCCAGCCCCCCACTAAGGGGAAGACTGCATCCAGAATAATGCCGGCGCGTAGTAGGTGCTCAGTAAATACTTGCTCTGTGGATACATGAGGAAGCGGTGAATTATACCTCGATGTGGGTAACTGGGTATGCATGACATGACAGAATGGCACAGCTAGGTGGGACTCTTGAGGACATCAGGCTCAGAGACACGAAGTGACTTGCCCAAGGTCACACAGCCACGTAGACTTTCCCAAGATGACCTCTCTCTTACATAATGCTGGGTCGTCGGAAAAGTCATGACGCATTTTTGCATAGAAAAAAGACATCATCTTGGACCAGCAGGTGGTGTAATGGTTCCATTGCTGGACTCCCACATGGCCAACTGTGGTTCAGATCTCGGACCCAGAGGCTTGAAACTCACACCAGGCACATGTGTGTGCATGCCCAAAATCCCCAGAGGAGACTGGAAGAGAAGGGATTGTGGCATGGCTATCCCCCCTGGTGGGGGGACAGATTTCTTGTCCCTGTCTCTCTGGTGAGTGCAAGCGCCCTAAAGCAAAAATCTCTAGGGGGAGGGGAGGAAAGAAAAAAAAGCTACATCATGACATTTCTGACAGCCTGGTATCTTTTTTTTTTTTTTTTTTTTTTTTTTTTAGGGGGTTTTTGTTTGGGGGC